CTTTTTCCACTATCTCTTTCTTTATTTTTCTTTTGTTTGTGCTTTCTTTTGTTTTGTAATTTTTTTCCATTGTTTTCAAAATCCCTTGACAATATCTAATGTATATTTGAGGGCATAGTCAATTAATGTTATAGTTATATGTCACTTATAGAAATCTAACTGAATCCCACAGATTAAAGAAACACAAAATGAGGGAGCATACCATCAAGATTGGAGTGTTGTCAATGGTAGTGTCACCTCTGAGTCTGAGAATCAGGACAGTGTCATTGTTGACCCCTCTTTATTGGCAAGTACGAAGCCAAAGGCGGAAACATTTAGGCCGCAGACTCAGATTCATTCCCAAGGTAAACGCAGTGACTTCTATTGTGTAGGAATACATGTGTACATTGCTCTGATCCTGGTTTGGTTAAGTAATTGAAAAAGCATTAAATATATTTCTTTGTTCATTTGGTTTCAGCAGTAAAATAGATAAATTGGTTCCTATGCCATCTTAGCCACACTTAGCACACATTATATGCATTGAGAGAAATCAGATTAAATATGAATGAGCAAGGAAACAATAGCTGCCATTGGTAGCCAAGGAGAGAGATGAGTAGCTGTGGACAGACAGGCAAAGTCTAATTCATAGGGAATGTCCTGGCACCTTGAAGTCATTATAGTGAGCTTGCCTTTGAGTGTAAAGTCATGTATCATTAATAAAGGGTTTCATTTTTTGAAAAATAGGATGGCTATCTATATCATCTAATCACAGCAAGCCATAGATGCCATGAAGCTGAAAATCATGCTCCCTTCTGAGGAAGTTTTATTAAATGTGAGGAATACCATCTGTCCTATAAACATTGTTTTTATAAATTTATTTTTTTACAGTCCTAATTAAATGTTACATGACTTCACATTCAACTCTGTCAGTGCAGTGTCTTAAAATCTGACTATGTTTGGGAAAAATGTGTTTTTGATTTCAGTTTGTAATCTGTGCATGGTCAGCTGATCACAACCATCTTGATTGTTCATGTCTTTGACTGTCAGAGAAAGATTCCAATAATATCAATACTGGTTGTGTTATTGCAGTTAATAATTAAAAAAAAATAGAGAAACTAGACACAGAAGTGCATGCATGCATGCACACATGCACACACACTATCACTCTCTCCTTACACACTCACACTTTCTCACACTTTCACATGCACACAAACAAAAACACACACAAAAATACACACAAAAAAAACATACACACACACATACAAAACACACACACACACACCAAATAAACACACACACAAAACACACACACACACACAAAACACACACACACAAACTCACACGCACAAACTCACACACACACAAACACACACACAAACACACACACACACACACACTGTAATCCAGCTATATCTATATCTAATTACTATATGATACACATATATATATAATCTTACATGTTTGTCACATACATATCTTCACACATACATATACATATGCATATACGCCTGACCATTGCTTCCCCTGTTTATTCCTCTTATTGCCACACCAGACATTCCAATGTCATGTTGTCTATCTTTTCCACAAGAGGTATGTGCTGATGTAACGCTTGCTTGTTCATCACCGTTCGTCACATGCTAACCATGTGACTTGATGCGATCTTTAGACCATTGTACAGGAGATCAGGCAGACTCCGTGCGGGGAGCTAAGGAGCAACAACTTGCTCCAAGGAGCTGCTGCACTCCAACATCTTATTCAGTAAAGGAGTCAAGACACTTTGGTTGTCTACCTTAACCCTAAGCTCGCCATCTACCAAACTCTCATAGGACCCAACATTTTGGGCTCTTACAACTGGCAGCAGCGGTGAAAGTGAACTTATACGCCTCCGCATCAACATTATACCCTACCAAGCACACTGTGACCCAGTCCCGCAGAGATGTCCCCAAGCCTGATAGCTGACGCTGTCTGCCTAGCTGCTGAATTCCGCCATAACACTCTCAGCACCAGCTGCTGACCCCTCAGCATCTATCTCGTCTGTTGCCGCCAGCGCCATGCCGATATCCAGACCCCAGCTGGACCACATATCACCAAGGACGTGGACCACCCAAAACATCTTTACACCGAGCCGAGTTCTTCGCCATGCGGTTTCATCATCGCAGCCATGCGACAGGAAACAACAACATCCCGCTAACTGGTCGTGCCATGACCTTGTTTGCCACACACTGCTTCAAATCTCCTCGTCAGCCGCTCTCTGCCTTGTCAGCCTGCAGCTCCCCAGCTTCTCCTCGCCTCGCACCACACCTAAAATCCGTATGAATTTTTGAAAAGAAAAAGAAAAGAAAGAAATCGGTGATCAATACCTAGCTTTTCCTTAAATATTTCTTATTCTGTGTTCAATTCTTAATATGGAGTTATTAATTGTGCAGTGACGTTATTTTTGTATTCTGTGTTCACTTATCAGTTATAGGTATTCATTTGCAGCTTATGAGTTGTTTTACTAGGTTCGCTCGTATGTATCTAGGCGCCCCCGCCGCTCGTACCTTACCGCCGCCTGAAGACGCACTCCCCTCAGCGCCGCCCGTGCATTCTGTGACGCCACCTGAAAATGGGATTCCTTCAGCTCCGCCCGCACACTGCAGTTCCGAAGCCCGAAAATGTGCACTCTCGGCATCAGTTAGAAAATAACAAGCGAATCTACTTGATACTGATAAACTGCCACAATACCTATGTCCTGTTTGTTTTTTTTACGTTGCTTACGGTTTTTACACAACTGTGCCACGGTTTCTTATGTATTTTTCTATTGTTTTTAGCTATATGAATTTAGATGATGTTTGATTATGATGGGGACCATCATTTTAAAACCAGGGAGATATGTACCCAGCATTATATTATATCTAATTACTATATGATACAATATATATTAATCTTACATGTTTGTCAC